CCCCCCCCCCCCCTGCGCGCGCGCGCATTGCTCTTGTTCTCCGGTGTGCAGATATTCCGCTTGTCGAAAAAGAAAGTCCCGCCGGGCAGGTTGAAGAAGGAGTTCCTGAGAGGATATGTCGCGTTAGATCTCGCACTGGGGTGAGTTTCAGGAATGAAAAATAAACATCGGCATGTATCCCCCCGCCTGAAGTCGGTCTATCTACTACTCGAAGTTGTGGGTTCCGCCTGATGGGAAATGGTTTGTATAGGAGTGCGACAGGGTGGTAGACCGGTTATGTAGGACTCCGAAAAATTAGCGAGCTTGCACAAATGATGGCAAGGAGGCGTCGAGATGGGAAGGAGGGTGAAAGTTTTTTGTTTTCTCACACCATAAACAAACAACGGTTTTTTCTTTGCCTGCATGGCGCTTGTAAGCAAGAGACTTCGCTACTTGTGAGCCGCAGTAAACGCTGACTACGTTTCGTGTGTTTTCATCTTTCAATCGTCCGCAAGTTACGCGGGTGGCACCTGAGATGAGGCATGGTACACCGGGTGATTTCATGGGTTTCCGAACACCAACAGTGTGTGTGTTGGTGCTTCCGCCAGCCTTAGTTTTTTTCCCGAAACACCCTGGTTGTTACAGTTTCATTTCCGAGACTGTCCAAGGTATCTACTCAGTAATAAAACTGAAGGAAGAACACAACAAAGACGATTGTGCATAAATAATATATGTATTGCATTCCTTGATCTGGTGGATGTGTTGGCCTCTGTCATGCTGCAATTTTTTTTTAGTATTTTCGATTTCTCTCGCCTGTTCTTGTTGGTTGCATGCACACTTACCAGGACGCTGGGGATCCCGTTCTCAAAGAAGAAGCTACTGGAGGAGGCGAACATCTCCAAACAGAAGGTGTAAGCTTTCGGGGGGGCTACCAATGCACGCACCATGCGCTATAGCTACTGCGCGGACGAACGCGAGTCTCGAGAGCTCGATAGTATGTACCATGTTTCTGATGGGTGCTTTCTAGCCTTGTGATCGGTCTTGTTGGCGAAGGAAATTCCGCTTTTTTTCCGTCCAAACTTGATGCAGTCATTGTCTTGTCTTGTTGGTATTGGTCAACACTACAAGTATGGTGAATCAACTGTGGGTACATATTCATATTCCTTTCAACCCGAATTTGTCCGGCTTCAAATGCGGTTGTCTGGCGATGGCAGGGGAATGAGAAAGCGATCAAGCCCTTAACCAGCAAGCCTGAAAAAATTGCTCTGATACAACGATATTTTGGGCAGCTGAATGTTTGGAGGACGAACCGGATGGTGCCCCTCTTGCCCTTCGTGAAGCAGTCCCAATGCACCGAGTATACCGCCAGGTTTTTGCTCGCACAATCTCACTTATGAGCATGCCAACCTCTCCGTCCATCGCGAGACGTTTGCGTTTGACCTACGCTCGCCACGCACGACCCTTGGTATCAGCAGGCGACCAATCAATACGTAGCTACACAGGCCAACTTCGCTCCTTGTATAGGCGAATTATTTGGGTGTCTCCTACAAAGACGGAGTGCTTCTTCGAAGCTTTTTTTTTTTTTTTTCGTGAGCTTCTGGTGTCCTTGTCGTCGTGCTCTCCACGAATACACGTGCCTTACTCAGACCTCTCTCCCCCTCTTGAAAAGGCACGAACAGCCATCTCCGTGGACACACAATAACAACCAATGCAAAGCACAAAAAAAAAATCTACAAGAATACCTCGGCCCAGACCCCCCCCCCTGCCACATAAAAACACTGTTACGTTATCCTTAATTTACGGCCACCCACCGCCACGGTGCCTCCAGGCGTACGATGACACCTACCAGCACCTCAGGAACGTGCTGGGCGCGCGGGTGGCTCCCATGGGCGTGAGCATGGCCAACATCGCGGTCAAGTTCACGGGGGCTAGCGTGGAGCGGTCGATGGCGCTGCTCCAAAGGTTTCAGGTGGGCTCCGGCCCGCTGGCGGGACTGCCTATTTATACATGTACATACGCGAAGAAATTAAGTTTGTCTATGAAATTGAGAGGCGGGGGTTCAGGAAGACTCTATTTCTAACCCTTAGCTTATCTGTCAATTCCGTGCTTAGGTTTGCTTTGTATAAACCTGCGAAGGGTACTGCGTTAGCGTCACACCGGTGTTTCCACAGAGCCGCAGGAGGCGGCTCGAACTCTCATCGCTGTTGTGCAATCCCGAAACCAAACTCTGGTTCTGTACTACCAGATATTGAGCCGCCGACGTACAAGGGGCAGGGCCACGCGTGTGTTGTGACGCACTCGTGAAACCAACTTAGTGGCTGTCCTTTTGTTTGGAAGCAACCCTAAGAGCCCACGACAACGCGAGCGCTTGGCTAAACGGAAGGCGTTTCTTCTGGCCTGCTTTGCGTGGGGGAGGATGGCTTCGGCCGCATCTCGCCGCGATACGCCCGTGTAGGTCACCATCAATTCGCCTTTTTTCGTCTGAAGAAGTCGTGATAATCGTAATTGTTTTTGTCTGTCGCCATGGAACACCAGCAGGGTTTTTGGTTCTAAGAAGGCTTCGACATGAGCACGCTTTTGATCTTTTTAAGAGGCTAGTCTGTCTTGGCTGCTGTGCCCGTCTAGCACATGTCTGTCCGCGTTACTGGCTCTGGGTTTGCGGTTTTCCATTTCCAGGATGCTTGTCATGCTGCGGTTACGGTGGAGCACCGCGAACGTTTGGCTGGACGGTATAGCACAGCCGAGTACCATGCTGCGGCGTTCTGCGTCGCGAGTGTGCAAGACAAGGTAAGGTGCTTGATCTGATTAACATAGTCCGCTCTTCGTCGTTGCTGTGTTTGCTGTGGTTGCTATGGTTGCTGCTGATGTTGTTGTTGATGATGATATTGTTGTTGTTGGTGGTGGTGTTTTTGACGATGACGACGACGACGACGACGATGATGGTGATGTTTTATTGCTGTACTGCTATCATGGTTAGGTCGTGTGGTCTAATTTTATCGGTGTCGGTGGTGAAGATGCTCTTGTACTGCTGTTGTCCTTGTTCCACGTGCACCGGAGGAAGCGGGAGAAGGACACCGCTGCTAGAAAACCCACCTCGTTTCGTGCCTAGTTTCGCGGAGGGCCTGGTTACCTAGCAGGTTGTCTCGCCCGACCCTTAGGATCTACGATTTTGAAGCCGAACACACCTTCCCGTCGTCAACCTGCTAACTGCTAACCAGGAAATTCCAGGACCGGCACCCCTTAACAATCCCCGTTTTCGGGTGGGAGGGGCAAGGGGACGCCACACCCACAGCTACAACCCCCGTGCGCGACGAACCCTTTCCATGTAGACTACATCGGCGGTCCTCGTATTCATGCCGCTAAGTCAAGCCACCAAGTCAGTCAACAAATGGAGAAGCTCCCCATGGTTTATCCCCTCCGTTTTGTTCTTGTTGCAGTTCAAGCTTGACCGGAAGGCTGTGGCGGCGATGGTAAAGCTGCAGCCCAAGGACCTCGACAAGATCTGCGG